GAATGTTTAAATCAACATTTTCCAAATAGTTGCTTCAGAAACATATCTTAGGGTCTTATTACTAAAAGTATGGTCTACAGACCAAATGGCATCATCCATACATATCCAGGGACTTCATTAGAAATATAAAATTGCAGACCTCATACCAGCCATACCAAATCATTTTAACTGAATCACCAGCATTTTAATAAGAGCCTAGTTGATTTCTGCATGCATATTAAAGTTTGAGAAACACTGCTTCTGGGGAAGACATCCCCAAGGTGATCATATAATCACCTGGATACCACTGGATACAAACATGCCTTTCTAGGTCCTTTCTCCAGTCTCAACCCAAAAGCCTGGGGTGAAAGCTAGGACTCTGAGTATTTAACTGAATGTAGTTCAGTAAATATATGCATTATATAAATTAATTAGTTTTGTTTATTAATTTCCCTTTAAAATCAAATGATCTCTAAGTGATATCATTCTATTGAGCTTTCTGGTGTTTCTGTAAACACTGGTTAAGGTGATCATGTCAAGACCCTACGGGTCAATGCATTACTCTGCTGAATTGTCCCAGACACTACAGAGGTTTAGCCCATACAGTTTTTTCAGTTTTATTGTTTGTTTGGTTTGTGTTTTTGTTGTTGTTGTTTTGAGAGAGTCTCACTCTGTCGACAAGGCTGGAGTGCAGTGGCACAATCTTGGCTCACTGCAACCTTCACTTCCTGGTCTCAAATAATCCTCCCACTTCAGCCTCCCAAGTAGCTGCCACCACAGGCACATGCCATTGTGCCCATCTAATTTTTGGATTTTTTTTTTCTAGAAATGGGGTTTTGACATCTTGGCCAGGCTGGTCTCAGACCCCTGGGCTCAAGCAATCGCCTACCTCAGCCTCCCAAAGTGCTGGAATTATAGGCATGAGCCACTGAGCCCAGCCCACGGCAGTTTTAAAATTAGTAATTCTTGCTGGATAATTGGTTAAATGCAGGAAATATAAGGGGCTCTGATGGTGAACTCCAACAATTTAATGAACAATATTAAAATGATACTAATTTTGCAAAGCCCCCTCAAGATGATTGTCATCAGATTCATAAGCTACATTCATCTATCAAAATCCTCATTTAGCACATTAAGATGTCTCTAGTACTTCAAAAACCAATCTTAAAAAGAAGAAACATAGTGAATTATACCCAATTTAGCTTTTCATTTATTGGGAATAAAGACTATCACGCACAGTGTATCACTTGCAGGAAAGTGTTTACAAATAGCAGCCAGAAATTATTCGTATCCCCATATAACATGAAAGACTTTTTTTTTTTTTCTTTTCTAAAGTGGATTTTTTCTTTTCCCTGCAAGCAAATCAAAAGAATTCCAAGTAAGGTATAAAGGCAATTCCCCCACTCCCTGACTTTTGATGCCATTACACTAGTTAAATTTCAATTTACATTTTAATGTACACTGGTCCCCAAGTCAAATGCAATATTTAATGACAAATCATGTCTTGACTTGCATAAATAATTTTAAATAAATTAAAAACCCTCTCGCTACATGAGAAGAAACTAAATATATCTTGCAAATATTAGATATTATATTAAGTAAACTGGTAATATAGGCTTTAATAATATTCAGACATACTTTTATTTAAAAATCACATCTGTTGGGGGGAAATGGGGGAGGGACGGGGGGTGAGGAGGTGGGAAGAGATAGCATGGGGAGAAAGGACAGATACAGGTGAGGGAACAGAAGGCAGAAAACCACACTGCCATGTGTGTACCTATGCAACAATCTTGCATGTTCACATGTACCCCAAAACCTAAAATGCAATTAAAAAAAAAATCACATCCTTATCACATCTTTGATAACGATACAAAAGAATGACAAAATATTTTTTTTAATCTCTAAGGTGACTTGTGAGATTATTAGCACAAAACATATTTTATGATTCTAAAAAGGTGGGAAATGACAGAAAAGTGTTTTCTGGGGACAGGCTCAGTGGTTTGTGCCTGTCATCCCAGCACTTTGGGAGGCCAGGAATTCAAGCAGCCTGGGCAACATAGCAAGACCCCATCTTTGTCTCTCTCACTCTCTCTCTTTCTCCCTTCCCCACTTCTCTCTCTCTCTGTGTGTGTGTATATATATATATATATGCATTTATCAATCATCAGCTATTATTTTATGATATATTTGATTCTCCATAGCACCAGCATCTTTCACTTGCAGATGTGTTAATCCTTATCGAAACTAATTGAATTAAAACTTTAGTAACAATTTTCATATAAATTATGGACATATATGGATATGTTTGTGTGTGTGTATATACATATATATATATACACACATGCAAATATGTATATGTATATATGTATATATACACATGCAAATATGTATATGTATATATGTATATATTATATACACACACACAAATATGTATATGTATATGTGTATATATATATACACACACACACAAACATATCCATATATGTCCATAATTTACATGAAAATTAATGTTACTAAAGTTTTAATTCAATTAGTTTCGATAAGGATTAACACATCTGCAAGTGAAAGATGCTGGTGCTATGGAGAATCAAATATATCATAAAATAACACTTGATGATTGATAAATGCTTATCAGTGCCAGGCACAGTTTTAGATATAGTTTACCTCTATCAAAATAATTCTATGAACTAGGCACCCTTTTATCAATGTAAACATTAAGACAGAGAGAGACAAAATAATTTGCCTACCATCACAAAACTCAATAGTGGAACTGAAGCTGGAAACCGATAGGAGTCTGAGTCTGGTTTCCTCCCCATGCCATGCACGTATGAAAGTAGAAACTGCAGGAGTGAAGGCACAAGTGAGACACGTGAGGGTGACACACAGAAGTGCAAAGTGTTTGAAAGGACAAAGAATACTGTACCCATGATGGCAATGGGAAATCAACAAAGGTATATTTGAGCCATTTTTTGCAACATTTTTTAAGCAAAAAGAAAGCTTTTCCTTGGACAAAACCCCTGGAAGTTTCTAGCAGCAAGTGGCAATGTAAAATTAAGGGAGCAAGGAAGATGAAGATGGGAAGGATGAGCATGTGCAGAGATCAGGGAGATGCTATTTACAGCAGTTCAGAGTATAGGTCATGTGGGCCTCAGAGAAGTGAACAGGAAAGGAAAAGTGAGGGTGAGCAGAAAAACCTGAGGGGGCTTACGTTGAAATCCCCTCTGCTGTTTGGCAGCAAGAGCCTTGAAATTACCTACTTTAGGTTGACTCAAGTCAGATGCCCTGGCTGGCCTGATTGAGACCACACTGGGAGCACAGATGTGAAATTGTCAAGAAGAAATTCAGGCATCCCCAAACTTGTTACACAGGGGGCCAGTTCACTGTCCCTCAGACCGTTGGAGGGCCGCCACATACTGTGTTCCTCTCACTGACGACCAATGAAAGAGGTGCCCCTTCCTGAAGCATGGCAGGGGGGCCGGATAAATGACCTCGGGGGCCGCATACAGCCCGCGGGCCGTAGTTTGGGGACGCCTGGATTAAATGCAAACATATTCCCTCTCTCAGTTATCTGCTACTTTAAAGTCATGAAATAATTGTTGGGTAAAGTTAATTAACTAAATAACTATAGAAAAATATTTCCCATGACTCTCAAATCAAGAACACGGCTTATGAGGTGATGTCTTCTCCCTGGCCTATTAGAACTCGGGCCTCACCCAGGAAAGGGCCACCCCAAATCACTAGTAGAATGAAGGTGAAATGCATATTTCAAGAGGAAGATTTCATTTCCCAGGAAACACAAATGCCTCTACAAATAGCAATTCACTCCTATTCTTAATCCCTAAACCATCAGCATCTGCTATGAAGAATTACTTGAGTCCTCAAATAAATCTCTCTCGTCCTGTATTTTTTTATGACGCTCTCAAAAGGCAATATTTGAATAAAACAACAATAACCATCTCTTTCCCCATCTCCTGATTCTTTCTGGAGGGGTTTTTACAGTCCTGGGCACACAAAGGAGGTCTTCTGGGGATCCATGGAGGCGGAATAATAGAAGTGGGAGGGCTGAAGACATTTTCAAGAAGGAGAAAAGAAGTTTGTGTATTTATGAACCTTTTTAAAAATTATAAAAACACTGAGAAATATGATAAAGAAATCTTGGACTCTCCTGAAAAGCAATTTTCTTTCTTCCATATTATTTTTCAAGTGTGTATATTTTTTTCATCCTACCTGGGTCAAACTAATGCAGTTTTAAAACTCATTTCCATGTTTTAAGATTCAGAGAGAAGAGATTGAACAGTAGGCTATAAAAATCCCTTAATGTCTTTAATGTAGCATTTTTGCAGATCTGCTGGAAAGTAAACAGTCATTGCTCAACTTTTCCCATAAGTGTCCCTTGAACTTTGTCATTGACGGCAAACAGCAGAATCCATTGGTGTGAATTTCATTCTCTCAGGAACGGGTTCTTCCTGGCATTGTTGAGACGCCTGCACTCTGATCGTCTAGGCAGACTCTCTTAGCCAAACTGATTTGCTGATTGTACTCTGGAGGAAATTATCAAACTTATTTATTTTTTGAGAAGGAGTCTCTTTCCTTCTTTCACCCGGGCAGAAGTGCAGTGGAAAGATCTCAGCTCCCTGCAACTTCTACCTCCTGGGTTCAAGTGATTCTCCTGTCTCAGCCTCCGCAGTAGCTGTGACAGATGCACACCACTATGCCTGGCTAATTTTTGTATTTTCAGCAGAGACGAGGTTTCACCATGTTGGCCAGGCTTGTCTCTAACTCCTGATCTCAAGTGATCATCCCACCTCGGCCTCCCAAAGTGCTAGGATTACAGTCGTGAACGACTACACCACGTCTGGCCAGAAATTATCAGACATTTTAAAATGCCATCTTGAAAGAGTAAATTTAAGTCATCTCATCTACATTCTCCAGAAGCATCTGACATCTCTAAAGCTTCTCTTCAGCTCTATTTAACTCTCATTTGTGTTCTTACAAGACAAGGTCACCCAGAATGTACTCACAGGCTATGCGCACAGAGGCCTTCCTGCTCTTGGAGGTACCCAGGTGGCTCCACGCCACACACTGGCACCAGTAGTCCTCGGGCCCATGGAAGTCCTCCACCTGTTGCCTGGTAACATTGATGAACACCTCGCGGACCTTCAAGCCTGATGGTGGGAGAGAGAGAGAAAAATCAGCTGACACTGTCGTATTTCTCAAACAGAAAGTTCAGGTTAGCCGAACCTTTTCTTTTTAATTAAACAATCCTGTTTTTAATCAAGGCAAGGTTTTAATTACTTTGACAATAACATATTACTGCTAATTAAATTTCAATAGCTGAGTAGGCTGGAAAGCACATGTGTAAAGTATTACCAACCAATTGTGGCTCCGGTGCAGTAGAACAGTTCTCGCAATACCTTGACACAGTACTGTTTGTCTTTCTTTGGTACTACCTTACTCAAAGATTTTGTACAATGTTAATTGGTGGGATCTACTAGATTTTGCACAATGTTAATTGGTGGGATACGACAAGCCAAAGAGGTCTCTACACACCAATGCCAGGGACACAGTTCCAGGTTGTTCTAAGGCCCCTACTTCTGGGTTTGGCAGCTGGGGAGGGTCATTGTAACAGTATTGCTTAGAAGAAAGGAGGCAGTGAACACGTGCAGATGGGGTGACCAGGCTGAAAATCCGAGGAAGGACCAAGGCACCGGCATCAAGGCTCAGGACAACAAAACCAGTGGGACCACAAGAAGGAATGAGCACAAAGAGGAGACAAATTGAAATAAGTATTTTTCTTTTAGCAATGGGGGTCTCTCTATGTTGACCAGGCTGATCTCAAACTCCTGGCCTCAAGTAATCCTCCCATTTTGGCCTTCCAAAATGCTGGGAATTTAGGTGTGAGCCACTGTGCCCAGCTACATGTGATATTTTGATACATGTATACAATACGTAATGATCAAATCAGAGTAAGTAGGATATCTATCACTTAAAATATTTATTTTTTGCCTTTCCGTATTTTTAAACAATATATCATAGTACACATAAACCAGGTTAGTCTTAAAAGTCCTGAGAGGAGAACCGAGGGAGGCCCCCACAGTAATGGTATGAGGATTTGAAGAAAGATGGGTTTTTATAGAGAGAGTAGCTAAGGGCACAGCAAAAAAACTGAGATGGAGCTGTTATGACCGTAATCTTTTAACTTTTTTGTCACTTTACAGTCATCCTTCTAAAATTAAAGAAATTGTTTGGTGCTTCTAACTGGAGAGTGTGAGCTTCTTCTCCACCTTTGACCACGGACTACCAACCGTTCTCTCCTTGAGAATAACAGTTGCTCTGTGCCAAGGATGGAGGGGGCACCTCACTTGCCTTACCAGTTAGCTCATCACAAACAGGGAGGCAGCCTTTACAGCCAGCATGTCCTCTCCATCCAGCACACATTCTGTGAGGTTGTGCCTTGCTCTGGGATAGATAGTGTGGGAGAAGAAGAGGCAATGCTTATTGCATTCCACCTAACTGCCTTATAATCATGATAAACCTTGAACCAATTTGCTCCTTACATTTCCACAGTACTCTGTGGCAATGCATGTTATTGTGTCCCTACTTTGCAGAGGAAAGAATTATGACTCAGAGAGGCTATGCCATTTGTCCACAGTCACAGAGTTTGTAAATGAAGAGTCCAAAGTTTGAGACTGGTGGTCTTACACCAAAACCAGTGTATGTTTAGGTACCTCTCAATGATTCAATTCTATCCCTTTATTTTAGGTACTTACACTTAATTACGGCAATAAGATTAATACATGGAACTATTTTTTAAATTAAGTACATAACTATGTTTTTCCCTTTAAGTCTAAAAGAAATTCAGGGGATAGGATCATCACTATAATCAAAAGGAGTTCAAAACTCTCGATGGAGGAGGTGGATCATGACTACATCTTGGTTGCAGAATTTAAAAAACAAGAATGAAGGATAGGATTAGTCAGACAGAGGAAACGTTCCCTTCTACCCAATCAATAACATGTTATTTATAGTGTGTGGTGAGACATGGTTGTGGCCACATAAGTCACCATGTGCAGTGTGAGGTATATTTCCTAAATTTGTAGGAGGAACCCACATAACAGAAAATCATCTTGATGACAGTTGATAACTCACATTTCTCCTGTTTGTGAAAAGTACAAAAGTACCATGTTTTTTTTTTCCCTGTCAGAGACTAAGGGTCCTGAAAGCTAACTCCTAAATCAAATAGGAGAAAAGGAGCCTTGGAGGTGATGATGTTGTTCCTGCTGCTTTGTTTTTTCTTTCTTTGCACTTTAATGAAATAAGAAGTATGAGTGGGCAGACAAAGTCTAGGAGAAGGTGGAGTTGGCAGGCAAAGGTGACAGGAAAGATTATCACAGAAAGTGGAAATAAAGGAAGGTGTTAAGAAATGGTTACAAGCAGACAAAAATATACACTGGGGAAAGGACACCCTAATTCAATAAACCGTGCTGGGTAAACTGGATCTCCAATGCAGAAGAATGAAACCGGATCTATCTCACCATATACAACAATTAACTAAAAATGGATTAAAGACTTGAATGCAAGACCTTAAACCATAAAAATTCTAGAAGAAAATCTAGAAAAAGTCTGCGGAGAAAACCTAGAAAAAGTCTACTGGACATTGGTCTAGGCAAATAATTTATGACTAAGAACCAAAAGCAAATGCATTAAAAACAAAAATAAATGAGACTTAAACTGAAAAGCACAACAAAAGAAATGAGAGTAAATAGCCAACCTACAGAACAGGAGAAAAATATTAGCAAACTATGTATTCCACAAATAAATAATATTCAAAATCTACAGAGGACTCAAGCAAGTCAGCAAGAAAAGACAAATAATCCCAATAAAAAGTAGGCAAACATCATGAACAGATTTTTCAAAAAAAGATATACACGGGTCCAACAAACATAGAAAAATGCTCAACATTACTAATCATAAGAAAATGCAAATTAATACCACCATAAGCCACCACCTTACCCCAGTCAAAATGACCATTACTAAAAAGTCTAACTACAATAGTTGTTGGCATGGATGTAGTGAAAAGGGAATACTTATAGTTGGTGGAAGCATAAATCAGTAAAACCTCTGCTGAAAACAATATGGATATTTCTCAAAGTACTACAAGTAGATCTGCTGCTTGATCCAATAATCTCACTACTGGGTATCTACTCAAAGGAAAAGAAGTCATTATATCAAAAATATACCTGCACTCGTATATCATACCACAATACACAATTACAAAGAAACTGAATCAAGCAAAAGGCCCATCAGCCAATGAACGGATAATGAAAATATATCAGGAAATGCCACTCAGCCATAAAAAAAGAATAAAATCATGTATTTTGCATTAACTTAGATGGACCTGGAGACCATTCTCCTAAATGAAGTAACTCAGGAATAGGAAACCAAATACTGCATGTTTTCACATCTGATTGGGAGCCAAACCATAGGTATGCAGGGAAGTACAGAGTGGTATAATGGACACTGGAGTCTCAGAAGCAGGGAGGATTAAACAGAGTGAGGGATATAAAACTACTTATAGGGTACAATGTACACTATTTGGGTGTCAGGTATGTTAAAATCCCAGACTTTGCCAATATACAATTCATCCATGTAACCAAAAACCACTTGTACCTCTAAAGCCATTATTATTTTTTTAAGCTTATCAGGACAGAAAGCAGACTGGAGTAGAACATGCATATTAGAAAGTAAAGTTGAGCAGGTAAGACAGAGGCAGTAGGCTCTGGAGAAGAGGGCTTGCTTTATGTTTTCCTATCTGGCCAAATGGTCGATGATCTCGGCAGAAGAGAGACAACGGAGGAGAGAGAACATCCATCAATGCACACAGGTAGGAGGAGGTAGAGTGACTTTAATATGCCAGAGCTCCTATATTACAGAACAGGGAGACCTATTAAAGCAGAATATACCCACACGTTGAGAAGTGGAGTCTCACCAAAGAAGCACTTAATAACTTTTAAGGTAAGAAATGTGTTCAAGCATTTTACCCAGCTGCTGCAGAAGACACATTCTTCTCTTTAGCACATAACATATTCTCCAGGATGGACCATAGGATAGGTCATAAAACAAGCCTCAAAAAATTAAAGAAGAGGGGCCGGGCGCGGTGGCTCAAGCCTGTAATCCCAGCACTTTGGGAGGCCGAGGCGGGTGGATCATGAGGTCAAGAGATCGAGACCATCCTGGTCAACATGGTGAAACCCCGTCTCTACTAACAATACAAAAAAACATTAGCTGGGCATGGTGGCACATGCCTGTAATCCCAGCTACTCAGGAGGCTGAGGCAGGAGAATTGCCTGAACCCAGGAGGCGGAGGTTGCCGTGAGCCGAGATTGCGCCATTGCACTCCAGCCTGGGTAACAAGAGCGAAACTCCGTCTCAAAAAAAAAAAAAAAAAAAAAAATTAAAGAAGAAACTGAAGAAGAGAGGATACTTCCAAACTCATTCTGTGAGAGCAGCATTATTCTGATACCAAAACCACACAAAGACACAATAACAACAAAACTACACGCCAATATACTTGATGAATACAGATGCAAAGATATTCAATGAAATACTAGCAAATCAAATTCAGTAACACATTAAAAGAATCATTCACCATAATCAAGCAGGATTGATCTCAGAGGGTGAGGACACTTCAACATAAGCAAATCAATAAACATGACATACCATATTAACAGAACGAAAAAAAAGAAAAAAGTGATCCTTTAAATAGATGCTGAAAAAGCATTTGATGAAATTCAACATCCCTTCATGATAAAAACCTCAAATAACTATACATATAAAGAACATACCTCAAACAATAAAGTCTGTATCTGACAAACCTACAGCTAACAGTTTACTGAACAGAGGAACACTGAAAGTGTTTCCCCTAAATCTGAAACACAACAAGGGTGTCCGCTTTTACATTTTTATTGAGCATAGTACTGAAGTCCTAGCCAGAGCAATCAGGCAAGAGAAACAAGTAAGAGGCATTCATATGGAAAGAAAGAAGTCAAATTAGCCTCGTTTGTAGATGACTTGATCTTATATTTAGAAATATGTAAAGATTCCACTAAGAAATGTTGGAATTGGTAAACAAATTCTGTATAGTTGCAGGATACAAAATCAATGT